TTTGAATGATGACTTTGCTAACCCACTCCTTTCTAGAAATTTCTAAAAATATATACAAGTCACTAACTACAAAGTCCAACCAAATTTTTCGAGTCTTGAGTTTCCCAACCAAAAGCATATCTTATCACTAAATCCTAAAATACTACTCAACCATCTTAGGAAAGGTGAGATCACAATTATGGACAAAGGAAGAGTATCCAGACTTAATCAAACAATTAGGGGATGATCAACATACGGAGGCAGCGCAGAAAGAGCCTATAACGTATTGTTTCCCCATGAGAACACTGAGTTGGAGAAAGTTGAGAAAGTTATGAGGAAGCGATTTCCCGCAAACCTTCTTTCAAAGGACGTTTGGAAAAAAGAGATCGGAAAGTAACTCTTGAAGCATACCCACAAGAATACCGAATAGGGACGGAAGTCATTGCATGCACCCTCATTTTCGAGCACTATAAGTGTAGGCATATGTTGAGGCCCATTGAAAGAGTATCTTCCGAAGTGGGATCAGGGGACGTCTGTAAGACCTGTAAGTTTCATTCTAATCAGAAAGGGTACACAATAGAGGAGTGAGACGAGTTTAAGAATGTGGTCCGCTACCTGCATGGTAGGGATAATATTGCGAATAGTTGGGGTGACGATGTTATCATTGCATGTGATAAACTGAGGCTCGACGTACGGTCACCAAGATGACTGAGTTCTATCGTTGCTCCTTCATTCCATTCAAGAAAACAATGGTGAAGGTATACTCAGAGTTGGTTCGAAACGGGGTCTTTACCCCTCTCTACAAGGACGTGGAGTGTTATATTCCCTTGGAATCAAAGTTTGGATATGTTTCGCTTATCACAGGGCCAAAAATCATAGCATCAAAAATGTCTTGCATTTGACCATGACATGAAATACCTCATTAGCATAGGAAAGATTCGAGTCAAGTTTGTTCCCCATGGATGATTTGACGTTGTGGAGAAGAAGGGTTCATATGGATCCACCTTTATCTTTTAAAGCTTTTTTTTGTTTTTCAATTCCCCTATAATCATCAAGAATGAATGAAAACAAGTAATTCTTTGTATTCGAACTACATAGGGCCTTAATTCTCCTTGTGAGATACGTAGGCCGTACTTCAAGGCCCGGTCCCTATCTTTCAAAATTTTCATTCTCCCTTTTCCATTCTGCAAGGAAAATGAGAGAAATAGATCAACAGACGTCGAAAGAGATGCAGCAAAAAGACTTTAGCTGAACGTGATTTAAGATTTCTGAGACAACCTCTAAACTAAAACAAGCAAATTCCTACTTGTCTTAAAAAAATTGTTTCCCTGTTACTCGTGGGTCGGCATGTCCTCAAACAAAGCAACCTTTGTGTGTTTATACGCTATCTATGTGGTATCTTGTGTTATGTATTCCGAACTCAAACTAACAAGTTTTGCTTTGAGTTGTTTTCCTTCTACGTGTATTAACAAACTAGTTTGTGTCGATTAAACTGGATCATCATTCCTACAATACTAGATTTAAAGGCCTGCAAAATCCTTTCCCGGCCAAAGTTCAGATAAGGGAAAAGCAGTAATGGAGGACAACCACTTATAAATCACTATTACTGACATTGTGGTGGCTCAACCCACCACAGGGGATCACAATGAACTAAATTATGCAGCTAATGCAGTAGATCGCTGAGATGAGAGTGGAAATGCAAAAAAGACAAGATCTGCCTCTACTAGGTTTTGCCGCCAATGCTTCCACGGATAAAAGGCCTCCGATGTACTTTCCCTTTTCAAACATGGAACAGGTCCAGAACTCGCCATCCACTTCTGCTCATAATCCCTCAGTAATAGACTTGACTACACAAAATCCTTAATACGCATCAGCGTCGTACCAGACCCCACCCCCTTCTCAAAATAATTATTCCCAAATACCACCTCCCCCCCCCCCAAATGTCCATCACCAAACCTCTCCACCTCCACAAAACCAAAATAAATTAAATCCCCAAACATCCATCCATCACCAAAATCAACATACTAACCCCCAAACCTTCTCGTAGAATTATCAAACCACTCAAAATGCCCCAAGTCCCTCCATAGCTCCACCTCTACCAAGAAAAATCACCTTCTGAATTCCCGTTATAAATGAGCACGAAGTGAATGGTTCTGAGCTCGACCATTATGTGGAATAGGAAAGAGAGTTGGAGGTCGAAGGAAAAGTCCACGAAGATAGACATAAACGAGGAGATCCAAAGAGTAATGAAGGAGCTTCAGTGCACTTCTGACGTCACCGATTTGAACTATGAAGACTTATGTATTCATCTGAATTTGGACCTCTCAGAAGGGTTCAAGATTCAAAAGTTTGACACTTTTGGAGTAACAGGGAACTTCTTAGCGCATCTAAGGGTCTACTGTGACCAGCTTGTAGGAGTTGGGGGAGATAAAGTTGTACTAATGCGGCTTTTTAGACAGAGCTTGAGCAGAGAAGCTTTGAAATAGTTTACATCTCGCGAGACCAGATAGTGGCCTAGTTGGAATGCCTTGGATAAGGAATTCATTAAGCGATTTGCTTATAACGTAGTGATTGTCTCTGATCGTTATTCCCTAGAAAAGATGAAGCGAAATTCCAAAGAAAGATGCAGAGAGTTTTTGTATAGATGGCAAAAGGAGCCATCCAAAGTTAAGCCTCTCAGGTATGAAAAAGAAATTGTTGAGGTATTTGTGCGGGTTCAGGAACCCGAGTACTACGATAGGATAATATTGCTCTTTGGAGCAAAGTTTGCCAAGATAGTCAAGGTAGGTGAGACTATCGAAGATGGATTTAAAACTAGGAAGATTGCCCATGTTGCTGCATTGCCCGATCCTCAGGCTTTTTAAAAAAGAAAAGAGAAGATGTGTAATTTGTTTTTTATGAAGGGAAGAAGACTCCGAGAAGATCATCATCATACCGAAGTCGTTCTCGACCACCATAGAGTCCATACCAGGCTATTTACACACAAGCTGATTACGGAAATGCCCCTCTTCTCACTTACAAAAATGCTTCCCCTTCTATTTATCAAATTCCACCTCCCATCTACCAAAATTCCCCTCAGGTTTACCAACCTCCACCTAATCACTACTACAATGTCGTTCCCAATTGCGCAATCATGTAGCCGAATTACCAAGCGCCTCCCCGAGTATATTAAGCCCACGATACAGTTTACCAAAATACCTCCCCGAACTACCAAGCTCCATTGCCAAATTACCAAACTAATCTTTATCCCAGATATCAAGATCCCCGTCCCAATGTCCAAAATTATCGTCAAACTCCTCCTCAAGGAAACTACGATCCCCCTCATCCTAGGTTTGAGAAAAATCCTACCAAAAATTTTACAGTGCCTGCTTAAAGTCGAACAAAGTTGTACGAGTGATTAATTACGGTTGGATATATTCATCCGATGGGGCCCAAGCCAGTAGACACTATTTCTCGATTTTTAGACCCGATCAAAAGTGTGCATATCACTCCAATAGCATTGGACATGATACAGAGTCGACAACGAACAAATATTGAGACCATATCCATCATCTACCAAGACATGGTTTATAACCCTTTCTCGACATATAACAGTGTTATGCAAAGCTTTATTGTGCATCCTCCCTTCGAAGGGCAACTCTTCATCATAAAATTTGATCATATGTCTTCGTATAACCTGGTTGATCATGGTCACAACCTCCTATGCCCTCTGTGTACAAGTTGATTTCTATGGTGATGCTCCAGAAAGGATTAGAGCCACATATTGGATTGGGAGAAATTTCTAAGGATTTGTCGAACCTATTCAAGTTTCCATCAAAGGAGCAAGGTATGGTTTGGGGTATGTCCCCACAGATGATGAGGTGATGATAAATAAGAGTGGTGACCAAGCATTGTCTAGACCAATCCCACATATATACCAGTCATTTCCGGTTCGAGAAGATGTCGATCATTATGGACTTGGGGATGGAATCTTGGGCCATTTTAAAGAGATTGACATTGTCATATAGGACGAGGTCGAGCTAGCTAGTATCCGTGATGTTGATCCTTGAGAGCAGTTGCAGAACTATACCTCCACACAATTTTTGATTCCTTGAATATATTGGTAATAGGACATTGTTTATGCCTATTTTGAAAATCGGAGGTAGTCAGGAAGAGGCCCGAGACCCACTGTTTTGCAGTTTCTATAATTACTTGAATTTTGATATTCCTCCGTAATGTTTAAAAAGGCAACATGGCCTTTCGCCATGTCCAAAGTTTGCATTGTTTTCCAATTTGAATGAAAGTCTCTTTTATTGAAAACTAGTTTATTCTTCTTATTTGCTTATTTTACTTTCCTAACTTTGTTTGTTTATGATTTCAGTAATTTTAATTTAAAACCTGTCAATGTCATGTCATGTCACGAGCTGAACGAACAAAATAAGGTAGGTGATGACAAAGTTGAAGAGTATGAAGAAGAAAATGAGATACCAAAATATGTTGCTGGAGAATTTCGGCATTTTGAGAATCAACATAAGCTGAATTTGGAAGAAATTAAGATTGTGAATCTGGGAGACGAAGAATGCGTCAACGAGGTCAAAATCAGTGTCCATCTGAATGAATCTCAAAGAAGGGACCTGATTCATTTGCTTACTGAATACATTTATGTATTTGTATAGGTTTACAGCGACATGCTAGGGCTGAGTACAAATGTGGTGTCTCACAAGTTGCCGATTAATCTGGGATTCAGTCCAGTGAAATAGAAGGCTTGGAAGTTCATGCCTACGTTAAATTTAAAGATTAAAGAAGATATCACCAAATAGATCGAGTCTTGATTAGTGGAAGTGATGCAATACCCAACTTGGTTGGCCTATGTTGTTTAGGTTGCCAAGAAAGATGGGAAAATCAGAAATGTGTTGATTATAGAGATCTCAACAAAGCAAGCCCAAAAGACAATTTTCTGTTGTTGAACATTCACATAATGATCGATGATTGTGCTAAGCATGAAATGTAGTCGTTTGTGGATTGTATATCATTACAGGGTGATGTCGTTTGGTCTCAACATTGTTGGTGCTACTTATATGAGAGCTATGACGAAAATCTTTCATGACATTATCCACAAAGAGATTGAGGACCACTTGACGCATTTTAAGAAATTCTTTGATCGTCTGCTTCGTTTCAACTTGAAGTTAAATCCCACCAAATGCGCTTTTGGGGTTCCAGTTGGCTAGTTGTCATAGTCATCAGAATGGGCATTGAGGTCGACCCTTCTATGTTCAAGGCAATTCAAGAGTTACCTCCTCTGAAGACGAAGAAGGAAGTGATGTGTTTCTTAGGGAGGTTGAACTACAATAGTCAATTCATAGCTCAATTCACCATGGTGTGTGAGCCTATCATCAAGATGTTGAAGAAAGATGCCTCAACAAAGTGGACTGAAGAATGTTAGACTGCTTTTGTTGCAATCAAGAATTATTTGTCCAGTCCACAAGTGTTGGTTCGTCCGAGAAGGGAGTCCATTGTTGTTGTATTTGTCTGTCTCATATAACGCATTTGGATGCGTGCTTGGTCAACATGATGAAACATGGAAGAAAGAGCGAGTTATTTATTATTTGAGCAAGAAATTCACTCCATACGAGGCTCATTATACTCTTTTGGAGAGAACATGCTTTGCTTTGACTTGGATTGATCAAAAGTTGAGATATTATTTGTCTTCTTATACTACATATCTCATCTCCAGAATTGACCCATTGAAGTATATTTTCCAGAAGGTGATGCCGACCGGAAAGTTGGCCAAATGACAAATGCTTTTGAGTGAATTTGATATTTGTATGTGACTCAAAAGGCGATAAAAGCATAAGCCTTGGATTATCATCTTGCAGAGAATTCTATCGACGAAGATTATGAACCGCTCAAGACTTATTTTCCCGATGAAGAAGTATCATTTGTAAGTGAAGATATTTCTGAAGCATACCCTAGTTGGTGATTATTATTTGACAGAGCGCGAATCACCAAGAAAGAGGTATTGCAGCAGTTTTAGCGTTAGAATCTGGTCAGCACTATTCCATAGCAGCTAAACTCCAATTTAATTGCACAAACAACATGGTTGAATATAAATCTTGTGTACTTGGTTTGAAAATGGTCATTGACATGAATGTACAAGAGTTGTTGGTTATTAGAGATTCAGATTTGTTGATTCATCAGGTTCAAGGAGAATGGGGCGTGGAAAATCTTAAGATCAAGTTGTACGTGCAGTAAATACAGAAATTGTGCAGAAGATTTTACAAGATTGAGTTCTGACAAACTCTCAGAACAAAGAATGAGTTGGTTGATGCTTTTGCTACCATCACTTCAATGATTAAACATCTGGATACTGATTATATTGATCCTATGGATATAGAGCTCAAAGAACATCCAGTCCATTGTTCGCATGTTGAAACGGAACAAGATAGTTTGTCATGGTATTTTGATATTATGAAGTATTTGGATCCTGGGATTTACCTGGATAATGCAACATTTAATCAGAAGAAGTCGATACACTGTTTTTCCCTCAACGTCTTTCTAAGTGGAGAATTCCTTTATAGGACGACTCTAGATTTAGGTTTTCTCAAATGTCTCGATGTTGTGAAGCTAAGAAACTTATCGAATAGATACATGCTGAAGTTTGTGGTACGCACATGAATGGACTCACTCTAGCAAGAAAAATCCTTCGAGCCGGTTATTTTTGGATGACTATGGAGCACGATTGTTGCAAGTTTGTGTAGAAATGTCATAAATGGCAAGTGCATGGTGATTTGATTTGAGTGCCGCCTCACGAACTCAATGCTATGAGTTCACCTTGGCCATTTGTAGCTTGGGGAATGAACAGTGCCACCACCGCTACACCTGTGGTTGGGTGTGATGAAGGTGCATTAATAGAAGTGACAAGTTTCCTCTACATCTGCTTGGCAGTTTCGGAGAAAAAAGGAACGCATCTTGTTCTTGAAAAATATTTCAAAGTCACGTTGTCCATACAATACGAAACTTATTTTCCTTAAGTGGTATAGTAGTATTACGTAATAATATTCTTGCCATATATAATTAGAGCTTTGACCTTCCTATAATTAAACACGGCATGTTATATATGTTTGACACTCTAGCTAGTATATATATATATATATATATATATATATATATATATATATATATATGACATGCCAAATGACAAAAAACACAAAAGTGAAATACAAAATTTTAATAAGAAGGAAATTAATCAAAGATAGAATTATATATGGCTGATTATTCTTCTTGTTCAACAGAAAATAGAAATCTGTTTACTCCTTGTGCTGCGTGTAAATTTCTACGTCGCCGATGTTTGGAAGATTGCCTGTTAAAGCCTTACTTTCCACCAAATGAGCCCATGAAATTCATCGTCGCTCATAAAATATTTGGAGCAAGCAACATCATCAAGGTGCTGAAGGTAAATACTAGTATAAATTTATTATGCTTCTTGTACCAATATTGGTTGGTGAACACAAATATTGAAAAACAAGGAAAGAAAAAAAGAAATTTGAAACTAGCTAGTTAGCAGTAATTAATGTTAGGAAAAATACTAAAAATATTGATATTAGATAGGAATTATAAAATAATAAAGAACTTATCATAAAAAATTGTGTCGTGGTAAGTCACTGCCTTGAAAGCGATTTAGGCTCGACTCCGATGCAAATCGCTGCAGTCGATCATCTCTCAAACACGTGCACTCGTGGCTAAGAGTTTGGAGGTTGCTCAAAATCAATTCCCAAAAAAAATATTCTAAGGATTAGAAGAGGGAGGAAAATGTTTTTCTCTTCTTTTTATTTACGTTGGTAGTGTATTTAATATGTTCTCCAAAGCCTCTTTTTATATAGGATTGCAAGAGAAGGAGTTGAAAAATAGAAGAGTTTAATTTTCTGAAACGTACTGCCAAGGTTAATGGTATTAAAGATCATTACATCACTTTGATTTTTGAAAAAATGTATCTTTCTCATTTGAAACATAATTTGCATTTGTGTTGTTATATGGCATTTAATTAATAAAATTAGAGTAATTAACTCAACATTAATCAACTTAACAATTGAGACCAATTCTGCATCTGTTCCTTAGCCAAAAAAAGGTATTAGCCAAAACTAGCTAGCAATGCACTTTTCTTGTTTTTTTCTTTTCTTAGGGTGCTGAGTAGATCCCTCCCGTCGCACTCTCACAGACACAAGGGAAAAAAAAATGAAAAAGAAAGATCACCTCATATTAAGTTTAATTTATTCAATTTTCACTTCAAAGATTAGCTATATTGATTCTTCGAAAATGAAAAGTATTATTTTCTTTGTCTCAACTTATATAATGTAGTTTGGAAAAGGGTTAAAAATATCTTTAAACTATAAGAAAAAGTCTAAAAATACCTTTCATTCATCTTCTGGTCTAAAAATACCTATCTATTCATTTTTTTGGTCTAAAACTACCCTTCCATCCACTTTTTTTTTGCTCACTTATAACCTTGCAACTAACAACCCTCTCTTTTTTAAAAAATATTTGTTATGTGTCATTTCTTATTGGATGAAATAAAAATCCACCTCTATTAATTTTTTCATATCAAAATAATATATCTTTTCAAGATTCAAAAAAAATATTTTTTATAATTCTAGTAATTTCTTTAAATTTATTTAGATTAAAGAGATGAATATAAGGGTATTTTAAGATCAAAAGATGGATAAAGGATATTTTTAGACTTTTTCTTATAGTTCAGGGGTATTTTTGGCCCTTTCCGAATGTAGTTTAGGTACAACGCAAAGAAAGAAAGAAAGAAAGAAAGAAAGAAATACGTTTAAAATATTTGTGTAACTACAAATGATTTCATTAACGTCGAACTAAAATAAAAAGTAAATAACAAACTATATGTCATATGTGGTTTCAGGATCTTCCAGCTACACAACGAGGAGATGCAGTTAATAGCCTTGTTTATGAAGCAAATGCAAGGATGAGAGATCCAATATATGGGAGTGCTGGTGTAATTTCCCATCTTCATGACCAAATGACTAAACTCCAAGCACAAGTTGCTTTGGCACAAGCTCAAATCTCTAATTTACAATCCCAAAATGCTAATTTGATGACTTTAATACCCAAACAACAATCATTATCAGATCACCATTATAAATTTCAAAATTCAACCCCTTTGTCATATGATGATAATACTGAAATTTGGCATCTAGGTGACACAACTTGGGACTCTTTCTGGTCATGATGACAATATATTCATTATTTTCTAATTTGGGGTACATAATATTTAAAAGGATTGTGACGAGATTGGAAAATTAAACTCTCATCAACAATCCTTTTTAATGTATGTTACACATTTTTTATTCATTTTATAGATGATACTACATTTAATTACAAATATTCCAATTATTACCGTGAGAAAATAAATGATGTTTCTTATTTCAGATAATGTCAGAAAAAAAAGTGATATGATTACTATTTCTCTTCTTCCATTTAATTTAGCTGATCATTAATTCTTAGTTTGTAATGTTTGACTAGCACTCTTCTCAACTTATTAGTCCTCTTGTATTTTGATTTATATAAACGTGTTTCATTGAGTACGAAATCAAAAGTAAAAGAAAGAATTTTAAAATTTATGATCTAATATAATAGATAGATATTTATATGATTATAAACTATCTCGTTAAAAGTGAAATGAGAAGTTTTACGAAGATTTTATGAATACTAGAGTGATTGAGTGTAATAAACTCAAAACATTCGTAAACACTATAATTAATTACCCCTCACCAGGAATCTCCCTCAAAACTCAAGCCCTAGCCTTATTTTTCTTCCCTTAATTCAACCTAATATATTTATATTGTTGGAAAAAACATCAAAAAAAATTAACATAGCCAAAGTATTATAAAGGTAGTTTTCCGAAGAAGAAATTTCTGACATTGGCTTCGTAATTATCTTAACTATATTGTTATTTCGGATTTGGACAACTTTTAACTTTTTCCCATGTTGCAAGTATTGTAGGAAATTTTAAGAAAAATACTTAATAACAAACTTATAAAGAATCATCATAGCTTATTGAGGTTTATTAAACATATTGTCCAAAACAAAAAGCCCCTCTTTCATGAAATTATTAAGAACAGAAAACTAGCAATGATTTAATAAAATAAAAAATCTAGCAAAATAGAATATATAAAGGAGAAATTTCTCTTCATGCATCTTCTTGCTTCTTACCAAAAGTTGAGTCGAAGGAAATTTTACGTGGAGATAATGTTTAGATAGAAAGAGTAACATCTCAATTATTAAGCATAAGCATTAAAGGCTTTTCAATGCACATTGTATGTATTTTCTCCGTGCATTTTTACTTTTTTGTGTTTTTGTTGGCACACTTTAAAAATATATATATAAATATATATAGGAATAATTTTACTATATCACACTTATTAATTATAAATTATTTAAATATTAAAATAAATAATATTTTACAATAAGATTAAAATAAACAGAAAATAATATATTATTTTTTAATTTTTAAAACTGAACAAACAAAATTGGACAATTATCTTTAAGATATTGAACAAATAAAAATAGACTAAAGGAGAAGTAAATTGTAGATACTGAAACCGGTAATTATTATAAGAATTCAAAAAGTGTTAATGGTTAATCTAACTTAGAGATTGCTTGACAATTGCTATTGAGAGGCTAAAACTATGGGATAATTTTTTTTAAAAGAAAAATAAAGGTGTTTGGGGAATTAATAAAACTGCTTTTAAATGAAAGCAGAAGTAGGTTTTTTATTGTTGAAAAGAAACTTAATTTCTTCTTAAAAAAAGGCAGAAGCAGAAGCTGGAAATTATTTTTGTTGAAGACCAAAATATCCCTTACTTATATACATATTAACCAATATATCCCTTATTAATTAGCTAACTTAACTGATATGTTTGGTTAAATTTCACTAAGAATTGAATTTTTTATATAAATTTCATTATTTTATTTTACAGAACTAGCAAATATGGTAATACAATATTTTTGTAGGATTAGAAAAGAAATAACAACAATGTTTTTGCACGGTTTGTAATCATTTAAAATTTATTAAATATAAATTTATAAAATGATTCGGATTATATTGAATTCATTAATATATTAATCCAAATAAATATTGTGGATTGATATAATTGAGTTAAATATTTAAGTCCAATAAATATGGATTTAATTAAAGTCTAAATTAATTGATTTGGGCTACATTGGATGAACCCAATTTGTTAAACCCAATCTCATCTCATTCTAGAGACCATCTTGGCGCCACGTGTGCAGATGTGACATGTCAAGTCAAATAAGAAAACCAATAGAATCATGACATGTGTCAAAGATGACAAGCCCGCTCCATAAAGCCCAAATGTCATGTCACTTTAATTTGATTGGCTGAATGAAATCCTATTCCAATCGCAACTCCTCTATTCTAAAACTATAAATAGGGGTCCTCATAATTCAGAAAAGAGACAGAAAATTCTAAACAAGAAGCTAGAGAAACTCTGTGGTACAAACGCCATTTAATTCTCTACAAAGCTACAAGTTTAAGAGTTCAAGCATTCAAGTTCAAGAACGATAAAGATCAAGACCACCAAATTCAAGTACAAGCTCGAAGCCCTTGAGTTAAAATAAAAGTCAAGATCAAGATA